TTATTTGAGTTGCACAATGAGAGATAATCCTTTTTCATCTCTTAACCCACTTAACTTGCATGTTATACGACTAGAACTTAGAATTTTTTATTTTCAATAAAAAGATATTACTATTGAATTATTTAGGTTATTAGCATAAATATATAATTTTTGATTATATAGTAACACATCAAAATTATGAATCTACAAATTATGTAACATTGTAATTACTAGTTGGATAACCCCTCATTGTGGGGTGGGGTGGGGTGTGGTGTCCAGTGCAACTTTGAATGGACCAATTTTAATGAATACATAGATATTATGATTTGTAAAGTTATCAATCAATAGAACATATGTTGTAGTTCCAAAGCTTTCACAAAAATAATAATTCATAGATTCAAATAGAGAAGAGAGAATTCCATGTAAGGCTTTTAGATTTTATAGATTTCTATCTTTCTAATTTTGTAAAGAAAAAAAAAAGAAGAAGAAAGTGAAAAAGAGAAAACAATAGATGAAATATCGAGAGAGGAAGAATGGCTCAACTGAGTATACAATAATAGCCATAATAAAGTCATCACATATTCAAGGTGAAAGTTTTCGAACTTTCAATCACACACAATCTACTCGCTCAATTGAGTTAAGTATCCAATATAATGCAGATCTTATGTAAAATTCTCATGTCTTCAATATTTCCCAAAACACATTTTCACATTACATAAGGCATATCAACGACAGTCTGATGATATTTTACTGGAACTGAAAGCAATAAGTCCCTCTCTTGACTGACTTCTTGGGGTCACGATTTCCTTCTGTATTAATGTCTTATTTTGAGATGCAGCCGAAGTTGGTCCTCTTTAGAATGTGTTCATATGTAGTAAGTTGAAAATCCAGGACCAGTCTACACAGTCGCACTTCACCACTTAATGCTTGAAACTTTGATCCAAATGACCAAACCAAGCTTTTCTTTGGATATACTGCTTGTGTGTGCGACTTCCGCAGTGAAATTCCCACATCCATTTTTATGCTTTCCTATAGACTAAATTGAAGGTTAGACCAACTGCCAGATATTCAGAACTCCAGTGACTTGTCTCTGGTCTCAGTCTACTAAAAAGGGACAATCTAAGTTCCCAATCTATACTCGTGGATAAAATACTTGACAATACAATTAACATGGATCAGATGTGTCTCAAGCAACCCTGTTTTGCAGTGGAGAGATTAATTTCATTGAGAATATTTGTAATGCTAGGCATTGCGTTTAGCATTACTCACATTGAATGGTTCAGAGTAAGAGAAATATCTAATGATGGTACTTCTGCCCCTTCAGAATGGTCCATGACCTGATAAAAAATTGGTCCTTCAGAGAAAGCTCTTTGACTTCTCCTAGCACATAAGTAATAAAGATTATCTGCGGTAATGTGATGCAGGCTCAGTCAGAAGCAGCTAAATTCTGTAAGTTTTTCAAACTGTCACAATTCAAAAATTCCATTTGCAATGAACACAGATTTTTTTACCACCCCCATTTCAAACAAATATGACCTCAGTTTGAAGTAATCATTATCGATGCAGTAGCATATAAGTTGGTATTACTCTTACCTGTAAAGTTGTTCCATGAGCACAACAAGTGCCATTTGATGATTCAAGACCATTGAAGATAACTTGACTGATATATTAGCAGGTTCCTGTATTTGTCTTCCATGACCATAAGGTCAACCAATACAAAATAGTAACCTTGAAGCTCCCTGTGAAACAGGAAGAGATAACATGTATAATTTTTATTATGAAGAAGAAAGTGCTCCAAATATAATTTGGAAATGACCCAACCATGTAAGCCAAAAAGTAAGATGCCTTTCACATGATCACTAGCAATGACTTTCTTGATTAATTAAAGCCTACCTAAGGAACAAATCCAAATTGATTTCAATCAGGAGATCTTATTTTCTCCAGCAAATCAAAGCACATGAAATCATTGTTGAATAGCTTATATTTAGCCGTGAGTTTTATCTCTGATATATCAAGATCAAAATTGAATTGCTATATATAATTCATGTCAAGGAAAAGAGAAAGATTGATACCAAGAAGAAATCCAATTTCACACATAAATTAAAATCATTCTCAGCAACCTTTTAGTAAGTTGTAGTTCCCCACCTTACTCCCTGCATCTCCTATTAATTCAGCAAACCGCTCAGACCCTATATCCAATCCATGCTCATCCAACATCACAACCTATAAACACAAGATCCCAAAACAAGGATAAATCCCAACAAGAACAATATCTCCAAAACTCTCAAAACCAAACCAATATTGATACTAATAAAAATGAAAGTTAAAAGTAAAACTATGGTGGGTTTTCCGGACGAGTACCTAGTCATCAGACCTGATATGGTTCATGACAGCCATATCTTCATCATCAACCTAGGCCTTCACATCTCTACATAAACAAAACCAGCATAAAATCGTCTAAATTAAGTTAGAAACTATAAAAACAGATTAATGGCATAAAATTAAAGAAAAGGGGAATGGAAGTACAGTGCATTTTTGGGGTTAGACCGAATTAGAACATCATCAACATGACAGTAGTTTCTAATTCTAAGCTTATCGATATACCCATCTACCAGCAACTGGACACCTGGGGACCTCTTCTTCCCCACCGTTATGATCAGAATTGGCAATGCTCTCTACCAACATAAAGAAAAGCTGATTACTTTTGTCAAAAATTCAAAACCCAAATAAGAATTCAGCTAAAAAACATGGAAGGATGCATGGACAGATGGGTTACCACAGATTGACCAACGAATTAGCATTGTTTAACTGAAAATTTCAATCAAAATAAGATTAAGATTAATGAAATGTTGTAGAAAATGCAGTAGGATTGATTGTTTAAATTCTAGCAGAAGGAACCTGAAGGAATACTTGAGTTAGTACAGCGAGGAGTAGCACAAACGCAGAAGGAAATTGCCATGAGAAACGAAATGGGTTTTGCTTATCGGATGGATGACTTCGTTTCCTTGGCTGAGAAAGGATGACGTAAAACGACGCCGTCTAATTAAATTAAATGGAGGCAAAAGGAAATCTTGTCATCAACGGTTGTTCTTTTAAAGTGTTTTTGTATTTTTTTAGGGAAATCATCTAAAAATTTAATTATTAAATTAAATTTTTTATTAATATAAATCATGTATATTAATTTTTAAATTATTTTAGTAGACTTAATAACTTTGTTATTATATAAAATTTAATATAATTAAATACATGTTAATAAATAAAGTTTTTTTAATCAATGTTATAAGTGTTAGGTTAATATAAAAATTAATATGTATAATTGATGTTAATAAAATTTTAAATTCAATAGTTATTTTTTAAAATATAAATTAAAATATAGATATTTAGATAAATTCTTAAAAAAAATTTACAACACGACTAACTAAGCACTAAATGTTTTTTTTCTCTTGACAAAATGATAAAAACTCTGTATCCCAAACTTTTCAAGCAAATTTTCAATTTGTGTTATTTGTATGTTTTGACCAATGAATAATCAGTAATTATCACTCTAATCTAGTTATTTTTATTATTGCAATTAATAAATTAAGTATTTTATTATTTTGAATTGCATAATAATAGATAATTAATAGTTATTACTCTACTCATTACTCCCTCTAGACATAACTTTCGTCAATTTAAGTTCCGAACTCTGCTTGCTAATTTGCTTGAAAGAGTATACATAATACATGTAAGACTTTTCATTGCAATTCCGAACAGGAAACAATAAGAAGAGCAATTTAGAAATGACAACTATAATATGGCTACATTCTTTAATGGATTGCTTCATGACTTGGATAGATGATCGACTATAAAATAGTAGCTAGAAATGAAGCACATCTCAATGTAATAAAACCACGCCCGTCTCCAATAAGGATTTATGTAAAGAACTGTGGCAATGGTTATAAGCACCATAATGTAAGACACAATTAAACTCACATAGAAGACACACATATCGATGAAACCATCATCTTCTCTAGCCTGAGTTGGACCTTCTTGGATCATTGGTGGTGGACTTGTTGCTGAGCAACTTTTCATTGGTTCCCCACAAAGTAGAGGATTACCTTGGTAACAACTTTCATCAAATGTTGCAAATTGTTGGATCCTCGCTGGTGTCTTGCCTGATAAGTTGTTGTATGCCATGCTAAAGGTGGATAAGAAATTTAACTCAACAAGCTCGGGGGGAATTTTCCCACTCAAACTGTTGTAGGCAAGATCCAAGCTCTCGATTTGCTTAAGGTTAGAAAATGTAGATGGGATTCCACCAACCAAGAAATTATGAGACAGGTTTAGTACATGAATTTCACTGAGGTGCCCAATTTGGTATGGAATTTCACCAATAAGTTTGTTGCAAGAAAGGTCTATTCCAGACATGTAGGCAAGAATTCTTCCCTTGTAAGAATATGCCATATGCTTTGTTGTGAAATGCACTGGTTCACCCATAGAAAGTGTATCCTTTGTTGTGAAATACTCTATTGTGAAATACACTGGTTCACCAATAAAAAGTGGGTCCTTTGTTGTGAAATGCGCTAGTTCACCAATAGAAAGTGTATCCTTGAAATTTTGCCAATGAAGTGGAGCAAGAGTAAAAGCAACACGATTATCCTTCTTATATAGCTCATCAAAAGTGATCAGATTTAGGCAAGAGGGTATATGGCCCGAAAGATGGTTTTGAGATAAATCAATCAACCTCAATTTCTGCAACTTGCATAGTTGAAATGGGATCTTACCTTCAAGATTATTGTTCTTCAAAATAAGATAACGCAACTCACCAAGCTTATTGATGCAATCTGGGATGTTACCACTTAGCTGGTTGTCACTAAGATCTAGCATTACTAGAGAAGAGAGGTGACACAACTGTGTTGTTAGCGATCCTGCCAGCTTGTTTTTGGATAAATGAAGAATTATCTGCCTTGGATTGAAACAAGATGGTAGACTCCCCGAAATATTGTTATTTGTAAGGTCTAGAATTAGAAGAAATTCAATTTGACAAAAGTCGATAGGAATTGGACCTTCAAGACCATTATTGGACATGATAAGTTCTTCCAAGTATGACATATTTCCCATCCAGCTCGGGATCCTTCCAGAGAGATTGTTATTGTTGAAATCTATTGAAGACAGATAGGAGCAGTTAGATAAGCTTTTTGGGATACTTCCAGAAAAGTGATTGCCATTCAACTGTAAATTCGTCAACTGGAATAAGCTAAATTTCTTAGAGAAAATCTGGCCCTGTAGATTGTTGTTTGATAGAATAAGTATCCTCAATGATGAGCAACCCATGGTTAACTTCTCAGGTATTCCACCAGATAAGTTATTGTGAGATAAGTCCAAAGACTTCAGCAACTTCATATCACCAATTGAAGGAGGAATGCTACCAATAAGAGAATTTTCTGAAATGATTAAATCTTGTAAACTTGGCAAAGATGCTATGATCTCCATTGGAATATGGCCATCCAATAAGTTTTTGGAGATATCTAGATGTTTCAAACTCATATGAGAATGAGCTAGCAACTTAACAGGTCTAGAGAGGGAATTGTTAACCAGCACAAGTATGTTCAACCTTGTGTTGTTTTCCAACAACCAAATGGGAAACTCTCCAGTTAGGTTAAGGTGTGAGAGGTCTAAAATTTTGAGGTCGTGTTGAGAGTAGAGGAAGTTTGGAACTGCTCCACAATCTCCATAACCAGACAAAACCAAGATATCTAGTTGGAAAGTTGGTTCCAAAAATTCAATGGTGGTATCTGCATAAAATTCATTGTTTTCAGCATAAATATGCTTGAGTATTGAATGGTTGAAGAATGGTTGAAGGGAAATGGGAATTTGGAAGTCATTATCTGAAAGGGATAGGTAATGAAGGGTTGTCAATTTGTTAAGGGAGGATAGAGTTATATTTCCAGAAAATCTATTTGAATTGAGGCTTAAACTCTGGAGAGAAGTCAAATTTGCCAAACATGAAGGCAAGGCTCCCTCTAAATAATTGTAGTCAACAACCAACTCTTCAAGATGTATCAATTCACACAAGCCTGTGACCATATACAACACTTACAAAGTTAGTCATATAGCTTAAAAAATATATATCTAGTAAAAATGGTCAAATTTGGACAATGGTTATTTTTTCTTTAAATTTGTAACTAACTTGAGCTTGTTAAGGAGCCACTGAGTTTGCAGTCAAATAGTGATAGAGCTTTGAGAGAAGTCAATGCTCCAATGCCGTGAAAGAAGTTGGGAGGGAGGATAGAATCCTCTATAAGCAATTCTTCCACTTTGGTCAAGTTATGAAAACCTAATAAGAAAAACAATTAATTATATTCATGTAATCTTCCATCATAATTAATAAAGTTAGAGAAATAACATATATTTGTAAGAAAAATATTCTAAGAAGATGAAAGAAATTATCGTAAAGGTAAATTTACCATAAAAATTTTTAGGCCAATAAAATATAACAAGATGGTACATTTTTGAAAGGAAAAATTATAATTGTAATAATAAAATGGAGATGAAGCAAGCTTACCTCTTGTACTCGGGTTCATTTTTATGCTACCATCTCCTAGGTGTAGAGTTTTTAAAGATGGAAGATTTGCCAAAGATGATAGGATGATGTAGCTGAAGTTTATTCTTCCAGTTAGGTCTAGCTCCTCCAAATGTTCAAGTCTTGATAGCTTTTCTAAATTAGCTGTTACAAATTAATAATCAAAGCATGTTGTCCACAAGCGTCTAATTTTGCTAAGCATATAACATAAAATTAAAACTGTAAAATAGTTTGAAGCTAATAAGTTTTTTAGTTATCACTCAAGGATAATAAGATACTATTGTTTAACTTATTGTGATTTAGATGTAGGATTTGCAAGTTTTTTCAACATAGGAAGGCTCTCAAACGTGCAATACATATAAGTATTTAATTAGTTTTGGAGCCACATATTTATTAAGATGAAACAGTAAGGAAATGGGTTTTATAATAGAAAGTGAGACATCTATACCATCAACATGACTGGATGCTTGGAATTCTTGTTCGGCTAGATATAAAAACTTGAGAGATAGAATCTCACTCAAAGATGATAAGATACTACTATTGGTCAACATATTGCAACTTAAATCAAGGGATTCTAATTTTCTCAACTTTGAAAACCTCTCGAGACCTGCAATATGTACAATTACTAATTCAATTTTGAAGCCACATATATATATATATTAAGATGAAACAATAAGGAAATTGGTTTAAATATGTAAAAGGTGAACATCTATACCTTCAACATGGTTAGATGCTTGGAGTTTGTTGTTAGCTAAAGATAGAGACTTAAGAGATAAAAATTCACTCAAATAAGGCAAAATACTGTTATTGAAGAAATTCCCTTCCAAGTTAAGGATTTCTAAATTGCTCAACTTCTTTGAAAGCTTAAGAAACCCTGCAAGTAGATCACAAGAATTGTAATTTTGGTTTAATTAAAAAAATAACACATAAATAAAATATGTGGGATAAGACAACAAGAATGAGATGAATATGCTGATCATATACCTATTGAAATGCTAGATTGCTGATAATCACAATTTTAACTGAGTTGAAAGGCGGATAAAATATGAAACTAGCTATTCCATTAAAATTCAAAGTGAGACTTCAATTTCTCAAATGGAAGAAACAAAGAGGCATTCAGATACATGTCAGTGAAACTGCTATTATATGCTCCAGCTTGTGTTAAAATAAGGATGAGTGAGATGACTCATCTAGTGGTGAAAGTTCCACTCAACCTTCTTCCATTGACAAGAGTTTGAATTTTTCCTCTCTTCTCACCCTGTTTCTTCGAGAAAAAGTAGAATTGAAGAAGGGTTTGGGTTGGAGGAGACAGTTCTCTCTTGGACCCAACACCCTCAGCATCACAGCCCTTCTAATAAGAAGAGTGCAAGTAGCTTATACATTAAACATTTCAACTCCATCAAAATATACTCAGATCATCAACTACAATTACATACTGCTACTATCTCTATGCCATTACCAGCAATACATCTTAGACCATTATATACACAAGTAAAGTAAGCAACTATTCCATGACTTGTGTTTTGTCATAAATGGGTCTCGCACATTATTAATTCAACACATCTATTTATAGTTTCCACAACAATTATATGTATCCCTTTTCTTTCTCTTTAATTCTCTATTTCATTAAAAATGAATTAAAAAAGATTGTAACAAATTGGTTTTCATTGAGATGAGATTATCAAGGGAAGGAAGAATTTATACCTCCATTACTAACGAGTAGATTATTTATAAAAAGGAAGAATTAATACCTTCATTACTAATAAATGGATTATTTATAACAAGAAAATATATATTAAATAGCCATTGAAATTACTAATTTTAAAGTCCTAGCATATAACATAAAGTTAAAACTGTACCATTGTTTGATGCTAATAAGTTACTCCATGCTAGATTTAGAGACTGAAGAGATGAAAGTTCACTCAAAAATAATAAGTTACTATTGTTCAATACATTGTCATGTAGATCAAGGATTTCCAAATTTCTCAACATAGAAAGCTTTGTGAAACCTGCAAGATGTACAATTACTAACTCAGTTTTGGAGCACATATATATTAAGATGAAACAATAAGGAAATAATTTCTATAAGTTAAAGAGGGACAATTATACCGTCAACATTGTTAGATGCTTGGAATTTGATATTGACTAGATATAGAGACTTGAGAGATGGAAGCTCACGCAAAGACAATAAGATGCTATTGTTCAACTTATTGTAACTTAGATCAAGGGTTTCCAAACTTCTCAACTTAAAAAGCCTCTCAAAACCTACATATGTACAATCACTAACTTAGTTTTGGAGCACATATATATTAAGATGAAACAATAAGGAAATAGGTTCTATAAGTCAAAGATGGGCAATTTTACCGTCAGCATGGTTAGATGCTTGAAATTCGATATTGACTAGATATAGAAACTTGAGAGATGGAAGCTCATTCAAAGAGAATAAGATACTGTTGTTCAACTTATTGCAACTTAGATCAAGGGTTTCCAAATTTCTCAACTTAAAAAGCCTCTCAAAACCTGCATAGGTACAATCACTAACTCAATTTTGGAGCACATATATATTAAGATGAAACAATAGGGAAATAGGTTTTATAAGTCAAAGATGGACAATTTTACCATCAGCATGGTTAGATGCTTGAAATTTGATATTGACTAGATATAGAGACTTGAGAGATGGAAGCTCACTCAAAGAGAATAAGATACCATTGTTCAACTTATTGTCACTTAGATCAAGGGTTTCCAGATATTTTAACTTAAAAAGTCTCTCAAAACCTGCAATATATATAATCACTAACTCAATTTTGGTGCACATATATATTAAGATGATACAATAAAGAAATAAGTTCTATAAGTCAAAGATGGACAATTATACCATCACTATGGCTAGATGCTTGGAATTCATTGCCAACTAAATATAAAGACTTAAGCGATAAAAAGTTACTCAAAGATGGCAAAATGTCGTCATTGAAGAAATATTCTTCCAAATTAAGGATTTCCAAATTACTCAACTTCTTTGAAAGCTTAAGAAAACTTGCAAACAGATCATGTGACTTGTAAGTTTGGTTCAATTAAAAATAGCAAATAAATAATATATATAGGAGAACAAGAATGAGTTGAATATACTTATATACATGTTGAGATGATCAATAATTCCATTTTTTTTTTTATTATCGTTAAAGGGTCAGTATATATTATTAATTAAAAAGGGGAAGCACAAGAAGTAGATAATCACAAAATTCAATTGAAAGGTAGATAATCTTATGATAATTGCAAAATTAAGTTGAAAGCTAGATAATAACCTTCATTTTCAATGCAACCAGCTATTCCATTATTGCTCAAATTGAGACTCGTCAATTCCTCAAACGGAAGA